GCTACTAGACTTCAAAAAAATTCAAATACCGGGTCACCTCGCTTCCTCGCGGTGAATTAAAAACTCAGCTTTTCTTAGCTTGAGTCTGCTGAGGAATGCTGATGATGAAAAAGTGAAACAGATTTAAATTTGGGACAGCCGTGGAACATTTTCTTTTTTCTTATGTTAGAATGCAAATACGATTTTGTCTAAAAAAAGAAGCAAACCAAAGCAAAAGGAAAAATCTAATTTGAAACGATAACGCATTTCTAATATTTTGGGTTATAGGAATGAATCTAATTGATTTATAAAGAAATAAATCTTGTTCACAGTTGTTTCAGGTTTCAAAGTAAACATTCCTGAAAGCTAGTAAAAAAATCTTAATCGCTAACAGCTACTAGAGTTCTTTCACTTTCAACCGCGTTTATCGGGTGATCATCACTTTCCGGGACATTGTGTAGGCGGTCAAGCGCGATATGTCGCAGATACCAGTTATTCTCGATCTCACTAGTTCGCCTTAGGGTCGAGCGTATAAAAGCGACAAATTTTGCCGAATTGACCGTCAGGTCTGCACCAATGGATCAGAAGGAGACGGAGGAGCAGCGCCAAATGCGGCGTGTCGCATTCTTCGCTGTCGTCATCTCCACCGCAGCAGTTATCGCCAGTGTCGTGACGTTGCCGATGCTCTACAGCTATGTGCAGTCTTTCCAAAGTCATCTAATTGTTGAGACCGAATATTGCAAGGTTTGCTTTACTGAATTTGCTTTTCTGCAACTTTCCTCAATCTCGTTCTTTTATTTTTAGACCAGAGCTCGAGATATGTGGGTGGAAATGCAGGTTTTGCACAAGGCGGGAGTTCCTCGCTCAAAAAGAGAGGCCACTGGAACCTGGCTTTTCGGACAATTTGTCCCCGATGGTGGCTCCGGAGGTGGTGGTGCTTACGTCGGTGCAGGTAGAGGTGGTGGCGGCGGTGGTAGCGGCGGTGGTGGTTATGGCAGTGGTGCTGCTGGAGCTGTTTCCGCCGACGTTGGACCAACATGCTGTCCCTGCCAACAAGGTAATTTACTTGCATGTTTCGCATGAAATGGGTTTTCTTAGTCCTGTTCTTTTAGGACCTGCTGGACCACCTGGGCCACCTGGAGATGAAGGGCCCCACGGAAACGACGGTCAGCATGGCCTTCCCGGAGCACCCGGCAAAGAAGGCTCTGTCCTCTCTTCCGCCTTGCCTCCAGCCGAACCATGCATTATTTGCCCTCAGGGAGCCCAAGGAGCCGTAGGAATGCAAGGACCCAAAGGACCACCAGGACCTAAGGGCAAGTCTATCGAGCGCGCCCCTGATGGCAAACCTGGAGAGCCAGGCTTGATCGGACCTCCCGGACCACCCGGAACAGTTGGAGAACCAGGACCTCCGGGACCAAATGGTCAACCCGGACGTGTTATCCAGGTGAATGGACCTGCTGGACCTGCTGGAGAACCTGGACCTAAGGGACCACCAGGACCAAGAGGAGTTCCAGGAATTGATGGAACAAATGACGTCGGTGAACAAGGAGATGCTGGTGACGCTGGCGCACCAGGACCCCCTGGAGGACCAGGACCACAAGGACCTAGTGGACCTCCTGGACCAACTGGTTAGTACATTTCCCTTTATGACTTTTGGAATGAATAACCCCTCTTGTGATTGTGAATCGTTTAGGTGAGGAAGGT